GACGCGGGGCGGCGGCCCTGGTCGCGTTGGCACTCGTGCCCAAGTCAACAGCAGTCTGAAGGCCGGGCCCCTGATGCGGACTGGTGCCCCAGCAGCTGATTTCACTTTCATTTCTTCACTCGCCGGTGGCCCGTGGCTTTTCGGAAAAAAGGGCTGTAAACAACGTGGCGGCTCAGCAGCCCGCATCCTGTCCCCACACTAGAGCCCGTGAGCCGAGGGACGGCAAGAGCCAGGTGAGTGTCTGGACAGCACACCCGGATCCCGCACGGCAAAGGGCCTGGCGTTTAGACGCCGCGTAAACACGACCTAGGGTTTTATTCGCAAGGGACCTTCCCCGTCCTCCGGTCTAAGGCCCCGGGCCCGGTCCCACCGTCTGTCTGCCCCTTCCTTTTCCCAAACCGCCTTTGTGGGATGGCTGGGCTTCCCAGGACCCAAACCCTGGTGTTCTTCGGGGTCCCACCAGGATGTTTAGGCCGCTGGAACGTCTCTTCCTTCAACATAAGAGCAGCACGAAGCTTTTATTTTGTAATCAGCGGGGCTCCTAGCCAGAGTTTAAAAAATTGCTTCCTTGGCTCGCATGACCAGCTGGGCTTTCCAATTTGGAGCAAAGCTCGCTTAAGTCAGTAGACAGCTACCCTAGGAATACTGGAATCCTTTCCCTTCCCCCAGGGGGAGTTCCTTGAAATGCCACATTCCCCCCCTTTGTAGTTCTTTTATTTATTTTTAAGATTTTATGTATTTATTTATTTTTAAAGATTTTATTTATTTATTTGACAGAGAGAGAGAGACAGCGAGAGGGAACACAAGCAGGGGGAGTGGGAGAGGGAGAAGCAGGCTCCCCGCCGAGCAGGGAGCCCGATGTGGGACTCGTTCCCAGAACCCTGGGACCATGACCTGAGCTGAAGGCAGTCGCTTAACCAACTGAGCCACCCAGGCGCCTCTTACTTTTTTTTTTTTTTTCAGATTTTATTTATTTGTAGTTCTTTTAAACTGAAACCCTAGAAAGATGAGGTCTGATAGGAAGAAGAGGGGCTCTGGGGTCAGGGCTTTCTGCCGCAGATTAGCAAATTATTTAATCAAGGTGAGCACCAGCATCAGTTTCTTATCGGTGAAATGGAAACCTACCTGCTTGACATGGTTGTTGTGGAAATTGGAGATAAGGTGTGAGAGTGCTTAGCACTGAGTGCTGAATACTGGGCACATGGTGACGGCAGGTGTTTTGATTCAAAGCAGAATTTCTAAATATTTAGCGAAACCTTCCTGACAATGCCTTCAAGGCAGAGACCGAATTAACTTTCTGGTACAAATATAAAATAGTTCCTCTAAAAATTGAACACTGGTGAGTACAGTGATACGGTATTCAAGAGACAGCAATGTATATATTTAAACATTCATCTGAAGTTACAATGCCCAGTAGTTTCAAAAAGTGTCAGTTTAGAGTTGGTTATGAAAAGTGGCAACCCCACATTCTCCCACCTTCCCCAGAGGCAAGCGCTTTCACCTGTGGGCGGATTCTTAGGTTATTTTCCTCAGTTCTCAGAATAACCCGTGTCTATTGGTACTTCCTGGGTTTTCAGCTTCGGGCCTAATCTATTGATTGAGCAGCTGTAACAGATGAAGATTTAGCTTTCTTCTCCCTGACTCTGTGTTCCTCAAGCATGAGTCTTTTCCTCCTCCTCCTCCGTCCAAACTGGTTTTGTTTAAATCAATATTCAGTGTCTGCGATACTGTAATATGTAAATACCACACACAGTAGTGGAGCTGTGTAGAAAACTGTGATTTTTTTTTTCCTTCCCCGCAAAACTGTTAATCTTCCCTGGAGATAATAATTGCCTTAATTCTTTGTTTGCTTGGATTCCTATGTGCTTAACACCAGTCCAGCCCGCAAATCTGAAATCTTTTTTCGAGAAATGTGTATGCGTGGTACTTGACCTCTTCCTGAGAAAGGCTCCGCCAGCGCCCTCGGACCCGCTGCCTTCTGGAAGGTTCCTCCCCACCATTCTGGGGCTTCCCTTTGCCTCTTTCTGACTCGGGATCTCCTATTGCCATTATCAAAGGCTTTTACGGATTTAGTCTTTATTCTGCCCTTAAGCTTGATCAATCGAAGGTCGATCGAGTATAGCATTTTAGGTGAAAGTAACTTGCACTGATAATTTTGAAAGCCTTATTCCATTGCGTCTGGCCTTCGTGTTGTTCTTTGCGAGTATAAAGCTGTTCTGCTTTACAGCTTCCCAAAGAGTCTTCTCTGCTGTTCTCATCTGTGCAGCTTTGTCTTAAACAGAAATTATGATTTTAGTGGGTTTTTGAGAAGGAACAAAATTAAAAGTGCCCAGTTTGCCATTTTAAACTGGAAGTGTAATTGTTATTATTTTTACATCCTAGAGGCTCTTTTTAGCAGTCCCTCTCACCGGCTCTCTCCGGTTACACAGCTGGCCTCTGGCTGAGCTTGTTGCTCTAATCAAGCTCCTAGCCTCCTTTTCATTGCTGATCACCCAGATCGCCACTGGGTTTGCCAGCACTCTGGGCCGAGAGCTTCCCCACACTCTGTTCCAAAGACATCAGTGTCCTTGGGGAGAACTCCAGAGCTCTCGGTTCGCAGGGCAGGCCTCTCCTCCGGGGGTGAAATACTTGAGGCAGCGGCCGGCTTTTTCTGGAGCTTGGAGGGGGTGGGGCAGTCCCTCTGGCCTTTTCAGCTTTCTCCCCGCCGCCCTCCCCACCCGAGGAGCAAGCCCGGGCCAAGGGGACCCGGGCTGTACCATTCTTCTCTGCGACACAGAGGTAGGGACCGGAGAAATGCTAGCAGCCTGCCCCTCCCGCGAAGATGCCCCAGCCCTTGACTGGGAGCTGGGGGACAGTGATGCCTGTCACCTTGGCCACCAGCTCAGGGAGAGGGGAGCTGTCCTCTTGCTGAACCAGTGGGAAGGGAGGAGTGGGTATGGCTTAAGTCTGAGATTTTAGTAGATTTTCTTGAATGTTTCTTCATTTGTTGTATGTCCTTTGGACAATTTCCTGAGGCTTTAAATGAGGGTTTTTGTTGTTTAATTTTTTTAATCATTAACATATAATATATTAGTTTCAGGGGTACAAGTGTGTGATTCATCAGCCTTACACAATTCACAGCGCTCACCATAGCACATACCCTCCCCAGTGTCTATCACCCAGCCGCCCCATCCCTCCCACCCCCCTCCACTCCAGCAACCCTCAGTTTGTTTCCTGTGATTAAGAGTCTCTTATGGTTTGTCTCCCTCTCTGGTTTCATCTTGTTTCTTTTTTTTCCTCTCTTCCCCTATGATTCTCTGCTTTGTTTCTCAAATTCCACATATCAGTGAGAGCATATGATAATTGCCTTTCTCTGATTGGCTTATTTTGCTTAGCATAATACCCTCTAGTTCCATCCATGTTGTTGCAAATGGCAAGATTTCATTTT